TAAGTGGGTTGATAGCTAGACCTTGGAAACATCCATCCTATAGGTTTCTTGGGAGCAATAATATGGGAGCCATCTCCTAATTAGTAACGCAAATGAGGGCCACAGGAAGTTCCTACAATTACATTTTGGGGATAATTCTCCAGTCTCCTTTAAATCAGTTCTTTTTTTCTCACGAAAATGTAATTGATTCTCCCAAGACAATAGACCAATTTTGAATTTCTCTCTAGCAGTGGTGGAGTCAGTGCAAGGTGCAAACAAAAATGCCATTATGAAGCCAAATGTTACAGAAATCTAAATTAATTTGTCCCTGAATAATCAAAGTTCTTTTTATTATATGGGCATAACTTGAAATAAGGGAGCCATTAGCAAAAGGCTGGTAACTTTATATAGAAGTGATAATGGACTTAAACATACATAACTCAGCAATATGCAACCTTTGTATTGTTAAATTACCTTATAAACTTTGAGGGAATTTCCAGTTTTATCCTTGCGTCAATCAAGAGAATAGCCAATGACTTATCACTGCAGAATATTTGGGTTCAAAAAGACACCACTTTTGGTTCTACTCAACTAAACTGACATTTCCATAAAATTAGAAACACATATTATGAGAATGAGAAACATTAGTTTTCTGTTGAGAAGTATTTCTTTTGGAAGCTCTGATTCAAATTTGCTTTAGTACGTCCATAAACTGAGACAGCTGGAGAGTTGGAGCAGGTCTGACTTGCCAGGTGCTTCACAGTATGTGGATTGGATCCATCAGAGAAGTGAAAAACTTCAGGTTTGTTTTGCTTTTTGGAAAAAGCAAAAGCTACAGAAAAGTTTAAAGAATAATAGAGCAACACTCACATATCACATACCCAGACTAACCAAAAGTAACATTTACTAATATTTTCTTCAGATCTCTCCTATTTTTTTAATTTTTAATTTTTTTAGGGAGGAGGAATTAGGTTTTTAAATTTATTTTTATTTTTAACGGAGGTACTGGGGATTGAACCCAGGACCTCATGCATGCTATGCACACACTCTACCATTGAGCTATGCCGTCCCCTCTCTGGGTTGCTTGATCTCTGTTTTTGAGGGGAAAGGGGCAGAGAAATAAACTTTACAAATTAAATTTAAACTCCATATAATCTCTTTTCTGGTGCTTGTCTCCTCTGTCCCTCCCCAGAGGCAAGCACCATGAACTTGCTGTCTGGGAAGTGCTTTTGTTTTTAGGACAGATTTAAATAATCCATAACTAAGACAATGGTTAGTAGTGTAGCTTTGTCCTGCAACCGTCTTTTTTCCACTCAACATTTTCTAAACCTATCCATGTAGATACTTATAGCTTCTTTCACTCATTTTAACTGCTGTTGAGTATCCCATCATATGAATGAAACACAATTTATCTTTTTTCTTACTGATGGACATTCAGAATGTTTCCAAAGTTTTGCTATTACAAATCACACTGCAGTTAATATTCTTATACATCTCATCATGTGTGTTTGAATTTCTTAAGGACGGTGGGCTCCTCCTTTGCTCATCAGGCTGCCCTATCAAGCAAACATTTAACTGCCTATCCCCAATATTCCTATATTTATTTATAAATCATATAAATGTACCATTATACCAATATACAATAGCCACTATAAAATGTAAATGCTTTCTTAAAAGATAAAATAAATAAATACAAAGTTCTATTATTTTCTTTCCTACATCCCATTTGAATTGCTGGGATGGAGGACATAAACATTCCATCTTTACTTATATTGTTATCATATTATATTATTACCATCATGTCACAATACAATATGACATTATTATTACTATTACTCACCAAAGGACTGTACAATTTGCATCCTTTTTAGCAGAGTAAGAAAATTTCCATTTCCCTGCTACCTCACTAACACTTGATATAAACAGATGCTTTACACATTCTATTTTGAAAAAAGTTTCAAACCAGCTGAAAAGTTGCGAGATTGTCACATGACCTCCTGTACAAGCTTCAGTTAGATTCGCCAATTATTCATGCTTTGCTACAGTTACTCTCTTTCTCTGTCTCTCTCTGTCTTCTTTCCTCCCTCCGCTCCTTCCTTTCATCTGCATTTATATCATTTATATTTTATTTCCATAGTTTTTTCCTGAACCATTTGAAAATAAGTTGCAGAAAGTATGACCTGTCAGTCCTAAGTACGCCCACATGTAGCTCCCAAGAACAAAGGCACCCTCTTATGTAACCTTGGAACAATGATCAGATTCAGGAAACAATGCTGAGAAAGAGCTGTAACATGTCACCAATTTTCCCAGTTGAGTTCTTTTAAGTAATTTTTTCTGACCCAGCACACACGTTACCTTCACTCTTCTTTAACTGGAAACAGTTCCTTAGCTGTTCTTCCTTTTTTATGACTTTGACATATTTGAGGCCAGTTATTTTGTCTCCTGTTCCTAAATCTGGAGTTGCCTGGTGGTTTACACGTGACTAGATTGGGTTATGCATTTTTGGCAGGAATACAGTATAAGTGATGTGTTCTCAGTGAATCACAACAGGAGGTTGTCAGATTTTTTTTAAGTTTCGCCACTCTGATGCACAAGGAATGAAATTGCATTTCATTTTGCAGAAGGTTAAGTAAGCATCTTCTCCTCAGCAATTCGTGTTTCTTCTTTTAGAATTGTTTTTTTAAAATAATCTTTGACTACTTTTCTTTTTCTTATATTATTTGCATTTAATTTACTTACAAGAATTTTGTCATACCAAATTAATCAAAATTTTTTTTCCTTCCTGACAAACTGCAACAGAAACAACATGAAGCTATTGACCTTCAGTAAACCTAGGTGCAATAAAAGACGTGTCCGTGTTGATCATACCAACAAGCTTAAGCTACCTTCAGTATCAGATATTAATTTGATATTGAATATTTCCTAGATTACATGAGCCTGAAGTTTGTTGTTCAGCGTCTTTTACACTTAGAAGTATTTAATTCGGTAGGTGCTTACTTTTAAGTCAATTAAATAGAGCTCTTTTACGTGTTGATTTTTACGTAAAGACAGAACCAGAGAACTCCCAGTTTTTCTATGAGTTTAAAAAAAAACCTTTTCCTTGAGAGCCCAGGTAGGTCATTTATATCTCAAAGGCCCCGAAAGAGAAAGACAAATTCTTCCTCTAAGGGTTTATGCAAAACCCAATCATCTTGGTTATTTTCAGGGACTTTTTCCCCCTAGTTCCCAAATACCCACTCCAGTTTAGAGAAATAACAGTAATAGATAATAATATATATATTATTTACTCCCATTCAGATGCGTTCACTTTCAGTGAAACTAGGAAGAGAGAACAGGATTTGGACTCAGGTACCAAGACCCGCCACCAAGATAAAAGCCAAATTGCACGAGGCCCACTTCAATATAACAGCAAAACCATTAAGGTTATTGTTCTCCAGAGCTCAGGGATACTGAGGTCACAGTGTTACAATTAAAAAAATATTTTCTTTTATTTATGGGAGCACAGCTGAAGATTGTACAAAATATACACTAAGAGGATCATATGTAAGATGGAACAGAGCCCTGATCATCCCTAGTTAATTATTCATGGCCAATGTTATCAAAGATCAAGCAAACAGCAATTCAGAACGGTCTCTTAGGGTCACAGTTCCCTCCCAAAAGGGGAACTGCTACCCAATGCCCTGTCAGTCCAAAAAGGGAGAACCCCAGCCAGTGTCCCATCAGAGATGAAGCTGAATGAAAGACCAAGGCTAGAAAGGGAAAATCTCAAACAACGCTTCACCACAGACGAGGCCAATGCAACAGAGAAGGAGACCCTGGTGTCGTCACACGAGAGCCCAATTATTGAAAGACGTCTCAAGTGACCAACGCAGGTTCTAACACACACATGCAAACAACAAACAAAAGATCAGACAAGGTGTAGCCCCCAAATCCCACTTCCACTCCCAGATGGAGGCCTCCAGACAGATGGGCCCAGCTCTCAAAAGAGAATGGACCAAGAGTGGCTCACAGTGAGCCCAGAATGGCTCACTCCCTGCAAGGGAAGCGGGCCCAGATGGAGCAGGTGGAATTTTCCCATCCCGTGCAAGCCGGAGTGGCTCACCCCAAAACGATACACACAAAAACGCAAACAACAAACAGGCCACGGTCGCACGATCAGAGGAGGTGTAGTTTAAGAATTCCACTTCAACCCCCAAAAGGAGGCCTCCAAACAGGCCCAGCTCCTGAAAAAGAACAGACCCAGAGGGGCTCACTTCTCAGTGGGAATGAGCCCAGATGGAGTGGAAAGAATTCCCAGTCTGCTGGAGCTAGAGCAGCTCATCTTAAGGCGACTCTGAATGCAGACGGTAGCTCCAGGCATTTCTAGGCTCCAAAGAGTCTCATGCTGTAGGGTGCTGGTGCCTGCTGGGGACAATCCCTCTGGGGTTCCCCGGAGTGAAGTAAGCTCTGGAAGCTGCTGGGACCGCAGGAAGGGGCTGCCCCGGGCCAGGGTCAACTTGCCCCAGGTACAGACTCCTGCGGTGGCTTGCCAAAATTGTTCCTGAAGGCAAGTTCATGTGCCCGCTGCACCATGAGGCCAAGCAAACGGGAAACATCGAAGTTTGGAGCAGAGAAAGGTTTACTGCAGGGCTAAGGAAGGAGGATGGGGTGGCCCATGCGCCCAAAAACCCCAACTCCCCAAAGGGTTTCAGCAAAGCGTATTTAAAGGCCAGGTAAGGAAGGAGGGTTGCAGTGCATGGGATGAGCTCGTGCACAATTCTCTGATTGGTTGATGTAGAGGTAACACAGGGTCAACACTACCAACCCCTGGGCGCCAGAAGGTCTGGGGCCACGCTTTCTCAGTCATCAGGTAGTTAATTTCTTCCCTTTGGTGATGGTTTTAAGCATCTGAAAAACTCAGGAAATACACACAAGATACTATTATCTGGGTGCTTCAGAAAGGAGCTACAGCAGAGGATATGGGGGATGGGTCTGACCCTGGAAGGCCCCACAGGGTCTTGCTAAGTTACAACAATTAGCTCAAGAAAAAAGAACACAAAGAAAAAGAATGGTAATTTCAGTCTTCAAGTATTTCATTGATTATCCAGAAAAAAATATGCTAGCCTTTACTCTCTTCATAGACACAAGGTTATGACTGATTTTTATGACTCCTCCACCAGTCTAATGCCTTTGCATTCAAAGTTCCTCTCCTGGTAGGATGACTCACACTTTTTATTACTCCATCATTATCATTCCTATTTTGCCAATTCCGATGCAGAAACTGAAGGCAAGGTCATATCACTGGTAAATGATAGGGATGGGACCAGGAACCCAACCACTGGCTTTAGTGTGAGACCCAGAAAACGGCTGACTCTGTTGTTTGGATATGCAGGTGTAACTAAGGGAATTAACACAAAAAACCTCTAGGCGTGCAGTCAGAGCTGTAAGGTTACCTTCATCAAACAAAGCATGACGACCTTTATACCACTTCTCATTGGCCCCCATATGTCAAGCATGAGAACACTATTTAGCAGTCCCTCCCTGAATCCATACCAGCTACTATCCAAGGGAAATTCAGATTTGGCAGGCTTTGGTGGCAACTTCAGAAATATACTGAAGCTATCCTCAAAAGGAGGGCACGATGCCTTATCGAGGAATACCTTACCTGACTTTGGCAAGATTAGAAGTGGCTGTTTGCCCCTGAGCATCAAGGGACCTCTGCGAAGTCATGGATTCCTCCCAGCTGATGTCCAGAGCTAAGAACTACTGACTAAACTGTACGAAATCAAGTATGTGTCAATACATTTTTAAGAATGGCTGTTTGTAGTGCAAATTTCAAATAACCTTGGTAGAGAATCATTGTGAGTCATGTTGTTTTTCAAGTCTGGTTTTAATGACTGCGAAACAGACAAGCTGGCTGGCACTTGGGCAAAGGGCACTCTATTTTACTTACTTTATATCAGAGCTCATGATCCTGGTAAATTTAAATGAAACTAAAAGTTTGCCTGAACCATGGTCAGGCCCATAGGGAGAAATTTTGAATATCTCTCTGTAAATGGGCGGATTCCTCTGTAAATACAGCATGTGATGGAAGCTCCCAGGTGGAAATAGGAAGAAGAGTGGCCAGAGAGGAGGCACATGAATTTTGCCTCAGGGAAGCTTCAGTTACTAAACTCCAGGGTAAAGAGGGGCGTGCCTCCTTTTCAGATGCTAAGGCTTTTCTGGGCTTCTAGGATAACTGGTTCCTAAATGTAGGAGACAAACGCCCTTCTCTTTAAGATAAAGGCCTTCTCTAATCCAAAGCTAAGACTCAGAAAGACAGTCCCCAGAGTAGAATCATATCATTAGGAGAGTGAAACGCTGGGCCACCTGGCTGGGTGTGAGTTACCCCCACATATACTTTGTTGCTTTGGAAAGAGTCCCTCATAGAAAGCACTCCGGGGGATTTCTTTATTCATGTAAAAACTGAACAGCGCCTTTCTCTGAAAAGGGCCAGCCCCTGATGCCTTTTCAGTATTTGCACATGGCTTTGAGGGCAGGGTGGGCCAGTTTTTTTCTCACTGTGTCCCTGGACCCCAACACACTGCCCAGCATGTAATTCTATACTTTCCGACTGAGACGCCCCAACCAAAACACTCAACCGTTGATCAGCTCTCGCTACTTTCTCTTACCCTTTTCCAATGGAGTTTGACCTCTGAGATGCAGAGGAAAGACTGACCTAAAACCGCAAATCTGCTTCCCCCAACCCCATTACTTTCTATATGGGGGATCAAATATATAAATCAGTCGGACCACCCGCTTTTTTGTTTGTTTTTGTTTTTGTTTCGAGAGCAGATGAGAATTTTATACTAGTAAGAGTTACAAATGCAGATGTAAGTTGTAAAAGACCCCACGTCACTGGGGATGGGTTAGAGAGCCGAGGCCAATGTCTCCGCGGTCAGCAGCAGCCGCGCACACGCCGGAGTGCCCCAGGAATGCCAGGAGCCATGGGAAGTGGTTCGTGCACATGGTCTCCCTTCAGTCTCGGGGCAGGCCTGAGAGGTAAGGTGTCTTACGTCACCTTACACACGGGGAAGCAGTCCCAGTGAGGTCAGCAGTGGGAGCGGAGGCTGGGAGGGGAGGCTGGCCAGAGGGGCTAGGCGGCCACACCATGTGACAGAGTGGGCTCGTCCGTGGAGGAGGGCTCCAGGCAACGAGGTCGGCCGGTCTTCGCCGTCCCTGCGAGTGAGCTGAGGGAGCCCTCACTCGTCAGAGGAGGAGGGGATGGGCTCCTTCTTGCAGCTGCGGTGCCTGGCGCGGTGTCGCTGGAGGTGGTTGGACCGGGTGAAGGCCTGGCCGCAGTCCTCACACTGGTAGGGCCTCTCGCCGTTGTGCACGCGGATGTGCTGGGCCAGCTCCGAGGCGACGCGGAAGGCCCTGCCGCACTCGGCGCAGACGAAGGCCTTCTCCCCGGAGTGGATCTGCTGGTGCCGCTTCAGGGTGGAGGAGCGGGCGAAGGCCTGGCCGCACTGCGGGCAGGGAAAGGGCCGCTCGCCGGTGTGGATGCGCTGGTGGCGCGCCAGGCGCGAGGGCTGCGCGAAGGCCACGCCGCAGTCGGCGCACTTGAAGGGCCTCTGGCCGGTGTGCAGCGTCTGGTGCTCGATCAGGTTGGAGGATTTGGTGAAGCACTTGCCGCAGGTGGAGCAGGGGAAGGGCCGCTCGCCCGAGTGCACGCGCTGGTGCTCCATCATCCGGCTGGCCACGGCGAACTCCCGGTCGCAGGTGGGGCAGCGGAAGGGCTTCTCGCCCAGGTGCGTGCGCTGGTGGCGCAGCAGCGACAGCGGCTTGTTGAAGGTCAGGCCGCACTCGGCGCACGGGAAGGGCTTGTCGTTGCTGTGCATGTTGCGCTGGTGCTTGCGCAGGTCGGAGGAGCGCACGAACGCCTTCCCGCAGTCCGGACACGGGTAGGGCTTCTCGCCCGTGTGCGTGCGGATGTGCTTGCGGTGGTCCGAGGACCAGGTGTAGGCCTTGTCACAGAAGGGACACTGGTAGGGCCGTTCGCCCGTGTGCAGGCGCTGGTGCTGCTGGAGCGTGCCCCGGTGGGAGTAGGCCTTCCCGCACAGCTCGCACGCGTAAGGCTTGGCACCCGGCGTCTGCGTGGGGCTCATCGGGTGGCTGGGCTTCTGGAAGGCCCGCCCGCCCCGCAGGCTCTTGTAAGGATGAACCTCCCCTCGACTGCCCTCCCCTGCGCCACCCGGTTCCGGGCCCTTCAGGCCCTTTTGCACTTTGGCCAGCACGGCCTCTGCCAGGCCGGCCGGGGTGGCTGACCCCTGGGCTGGTGTGTGTGGCTCCTGCGTGGAGAGGTCCCAACTGCCCCCTACCTTTGGGACACACTCCAGAGGGGAGCTGTCTGGGGGCTTGTCTACACCCTTCTGTGCACAGAAATACTTACCAGAACCAGGGAAATTGGATGGGACACCCAAGGCAGCGTTCAGGTTTGCCCTGGAGTCGCCATCATTGCCGGCAGGTAATGAGCCCCTAAGAGACTGTGTCCGACTGAACCACGTGTGTGAGAGGCCCCTGGGGAGGGCACTCAGAACCATGCTTGCTCCAGTGGAGCCTTGGGTCGGCGTGATCTTCGTCTCGTCTCTTTCCCACCTGGTCTTCCCAGGCACTATCATGGGGTTCTTTCCCATGCCCTGGGCACTGCAGGAGTCAGAGAATTTCTCTTCTTTCTTGCGAGGTTGATGCTGCCATGGCAAGGCAGGGTTGTCCTCAGTCACTTGGGAGCTGCCCCTTGGACAGGCTTGGTGATCAGGGTCACCAGTGCCCTTTTTGTCTCCTGCCCCTCCACCAGCCTCGTCCTTACTGTCTAAGTTCACGCACAGCATCTGGGGGGCATAAGCTTCCTGAGTCAACCTGCAGAGAGGAGATACCTGGCCCCACTGGTCCTGTGGGTCCATCTGTGCCGTTGTGTTCAGGCCCTTCTAGCCCTGCTCCTCCAAGATGGACTTCCGCTGGGCTCAGGATACCTGCAAAAGGGAAAAGTACAAAGAATGGACTTAATCACCTTCCCGGCCACAGGACTGAGGTTCTCGCTACTGATCTGTGTGTCCATCCGGTAGCCATTGCCAGCCACATTGTTGCGCCTCACTGATGAAGGAGGAGCTGGGTTCTGCTGTAAACTCCACAGCTGCCTTTCATCCTTTGGAGGTCCCACTTGCTGGAAGCCCCAGGAGATGATGCTGTCAGGATGGCCATCTGTACCCTGCCCTGCCCCGGGGCCTCAAACCCCCAACTGCTAGCCAGGTGGGTTCTCTGTGAGCCTGGGGAAGGCTAGATAAGAGGGCAGGCGGCAAAGGTCTGCTCCCCATCAAGTCTCTTAAATAGTCCCCCCAGCTGGGAAGCTGAAAACCAGGCTGGCTCTTGCTGTTCCTGCCAGGAGTGCAAGTCTGCCATGTCCTGATTGTGACAGCTGGGGAACTGCCTCCCAGGCTCTGGGCTGTGTGGGCCACCTCTTCCAAAGCCAAAGATAAGCTCCTGGGGGAACAGAGGGAGTCAGGAAGACATCAGGGTGTTCCCCAAAAGATACTGTCTGTCACTGCATAAGTGGGGCTTCTCAGGCCTGTGCAGTGAAGAACCCCTAGCTTCTGGGCAGGATAAACACATGCACCAGGGAGAAAGGGAGGCCCACCCCAAGCTTGGACTGTCTTTGAAATATTGCTTCGTCTTAAACATTCAAGAGAATGTATATTCTGTGTCATGTTGGTTTCAACATAAAAATTGTGTTTTCAGTTACCTTCAGTTTAAATGTTTAGCTTTTCCCCAAGTGTGCTATATTTATCCCATGGCCTCACATATTCCTGGCATGCCCCCATGTGTTCCCAGGGGTGCACGTACCCCGACTTGAGAAGCATGGACTTGGGGTTTTGACAGCAAGGCATGCGACAAGGGAGTCTTTGAGTTGCATTTTTTTGACTTTATTTTAAGCTTGAAGATGCAGAGAAAGCCTGCCGAGGCTGGTTAATAAGGATTGTGTGTGTGAGTTTTTGGGGAGTTGCTGGATGACAGGCAGGCTAGTGAGGGGCTCTGTGGAGGAGGGGGTTGGAGGGGTGGAGGTTGAGGGGGAGGAGCAGTTTCTGACCAGAGGGCTGAGTTTGCTTTGGTCTGGAAGGAACCCTCTGAGAATCCCGGAGGGCAGGAAGTGGTGCTAGCAGGTCCGTGTTCTGAGCGGGCGTGACGATCCAGGCAAGAAATACGACTTCATCTACTCCTCCCGGCCACCTTTCAGATCGACTCTCTTACTACTACAGTATTCTTTCTGTTTTACAACCAGAAAGGTAGGTTTAAAGAGGTTACTTACCTGCCTGAGGTCCCGCAGCTCATAGGCAGCAGCAGCCCTGGGGTTTCTAACTTCAAGGCCTCCCCCACGTGGCCCTCACACTGAGGCCTGTCCAGGCTGGGCCCTGCCCAAGAGCAGCCACAGCATCCTGGGGGGAGAGCTGCTGCTTTCTGAGGCATCAAAGCCCCTTGTGTTTTCTGGGCCAAGGAACCTTGGCTCAGGGGCCTCACGGTTGGGCTCCTCCCGGCTCCTCCCGGCTCCTGTTGACCCAAATTGCCCTCCGCAGGAGAGAGAGGCCAGGCCACAGGCTGCGGAGACCGCTGCCTGGGATGGTCAGGGGTATGAGTCACTGAGTGTTTACTTTCTGAAAGCTGCTTCTCTCCTCCTCCGCCCCCTCCCCCCTCCCTCGGAGGGATAAGAGACAGGCTCTCTGCACCTGATGTGGCTCCAATGGGTCCTCTTTAAGGCGGGAGGCTGCCATCATCCCTTAGTAAGATCTGTTCATTCATTCATTCGACAGATGTTTACCAAACAGTCCAAATTATCTGCCTGTCAACAAAGATCTCTAAGCCTGGTTTCCTTCTCCATCTGCAGGATGGAGCTGCTGCCCCTGCTGGATGGGCTGGGGGCGCCCCTGCAGCCAGTGGGCATTCGGTGACTGGTGCGCTGCTTCTTGGGCTGCCTGCTCCTCTGCCCTGCAGCGTGGCTCCTGGGAGACGTCTGGGTGGACGAGCATCTCAGTTTGGTGGTCAAGGGTCACACAGTAAAGTCACGTCCTGTGTTATGAGCCCCCCTTCACCAAGCTGGCCTTCCCCCAGCTCCTGCCTGGTCATCAGCCCAGTGGCTGCATGTGGATGGGGTGGCGACAGGGAGGAGTCCTCACTTTCTCCTTGGATGCAGGAGCCGTAGAGAACGAGAGGACACAATGCGGTAGTAACTGCGGTGCAGCCTCTCATGGCCCTTTGTGCCCTGAAGCCCGGGGATCACTCCTCCTTCTGACCCTTCTGCTCTGTCCCCATAACACATCAAAGTGTAGCTGGCATACCTCTTGGCCGGAAACCAGGTTTGACATATTTTCAGCATAGTGGTTCTTAGAGAGCGGCTGTGTGTGTGGTTAATAGAGGGACCCAGTACTGGTCAGCTTACCATGCCTTACTGAGGCCAGCATGCCTATCAGGGGCTGTGATCCACTGGTGGGATGGCAAAGGGATGCTGGATTGGACTGAAACAGACTTCTGAGGCTTTTTTCTCTCTCTGGGACAACATGCCATGTGTGTTCATGGGGAACTGTTCGCAGACGGCTTACCTTACCCTCCCCCATCCCCGCCTCCGGCACACACACCCCATTCTACACCACACGTCTCTCACCCCGCTTCCTCTGGGCCACAGGTGAGCCTCCTCCGGGCAGCATGCAGCCCTCTGCTAGCTCACAGCTGCCGGGAGATTGCCTTTCCAGATAGGAAATGCCTCCTGTGTCTGCAGCCACATCCCCAGTGAATACATCTTGCTCTCTTCCTTCTGTAGCTGCCAAAGGTGCTTCTCGACCACCAAGAAGACAGAGAGGAAGGCAGGGATTCAGGGCGGGATTTTCTGGCAAAGTCGACACAAATATTCCTGGTCAGGAAGGGGAATACTGATGCCGCCGTCTGCCCTCCAGATGTGACCCCCAGAAGCGGTCAGAGCACAGTCCTTTCCTGGAACTGCCTCCAGGCTTGCCGGCCAGGAGTGGTCCAGGTGCAGCCCCAGCTCACCTACCTCACACCTGGACGTGGATGCTCTGCAGAAGCCTGGCCTCAGGGCCTGATCCAGCTCCTGGTCCCTGCCCCTCTTTCCGTCCATAGAAGGTACTGGGTCCATCCCAGGGCGGCCACCTCCCACCTTCTCCTCTGCCCACCACCTTCAGGTTTTGCTCTTCACTTCTGGCTCAGACACAGTCACTTACTTGGGAAATGCAGACAGCCGTGTGGGCCCCTGGTCCTGGCTCCTCTGTCACACGTGGCTTCTCAGCCAGCGGAGCTAGAGTTGGGTATGAATCAGCGGAGACAGTGTCTCTGTCCCTCACGATTCTGTGTCCAGTCCAGCAGCTGCGGAGGGAGCTTCAGGAGGTGGGGCCAGTGTAATACACTCAACCTTCCTGCCTGCATCCCAGAGGGCAGCCTGGGAAGTCCAGTGGGGCTGCCCTGTCTCACTGCCTGAGCTGATCTGGCTGCTCCCTCTGCTCCCGCCTCCCCCTCTGGCCCTGGCCAGCCTCCCTGCCTCCCTTCCTCCCTCTCTCCCTTCCTCCCCACCTCAGAAAGTTTACTCAGTCCTCCTGCAGGTGGTCCTCTCCCTCCTATTCACTCTGATCCCTCCTTCTCACCCCTGGGAGCAGGGGTGTTCCCAGAATTACTTTGCGGTCGTCACTGGCTCAAAGATGCCCATGACCATTTAGCTGGGGGTGGGGTGCAGGGAGATAATTTTCTCTCCTTATTCATGCACAAACCAGGCCTGTCTCTCCATCTTTCAGCGTTGCTTCCCACGCAGGTTCATTTTGAAGAGAAAGGTTAGCCCAGGATATGGGACTCAGTATGTCCACAGTTTGAACCCACTCGAGTCTAATGTGCCTTTACTGGGGTGAATGCTCAGGACATTAAAATGGGGGATGGGAGTATGGTACCTTCAGTAAATTGTTATTTTTACCCTAGAGCTGGTGGGAGCTTGCTGACACCTTTGCCCTATCCCCGTCCTTCCTGAATGCCTGTCCTTGAATAGTCTGCCATCAGAAGGCCACCACCTTTCTGGCTCTGACTCTGGTCTCCTTGCCCCAAGCATTCCCACTGAGGGGCTGGCCAAGCAGACTTTTTCAAGACCAACGATGTTCCCAGAGCCGTGATGTCATAACGCAGGCTTTTCATTGTGTGCTGCGCTCGACACATGTGGCAATCAGTGACGAGGTGGGAGGTTCATGCTCTAGACAGGAGGACAGAATGTGGCAGTGACTCCAAATATCAGCACTTCTAGAGCTTTCTGCAGAATGGCACCAGGTGGGAGGCCTTTGCTTGACTGACAGCACCTGCTCCCTCACCCCACCCCCTCCCCCAGCCAAGGCTGCACAGTGTGATGACTGAGCGCACACAGGGTCTGGAGTCAGATTGCTCAGGTTCGTTAATCTCGTTTCTATCACTTGCTGCGTGACTGTGGGGAAGGAAGTTCCTTGACCTTTCTGTACCTCAGTTTCTTGATCTGTAAGTTATAGATAATAATACCTTCCAGAGTTGTTATGGGGTTTAAAGGAGATGATGTACTTTGCAGAGTGCCAGGGACAGGCAGGGACTCAATCGACACTAGCTAATAGTCATATAGTTTGGGAAGGGGGGGACTCACCTCTACTCAAGTACAGGCGGCAGAGACCCCGCCTCTGGTCCACATCAGAACCTTCTCCCAAGATCTCACCCTGTGGGCGAGCTGGAGCAGTGGTCACCAGAGCCCCCTGGGTGAGCTCCAAGACCACCCCCCTCCCAGCTCCTCAAGACCCACATCATGCTGTAGTGACCCTCCCAGACCACCGCTCAAGTCCCTGGTCCCTGCGCAGGAGGAGGAGCTACAGACAGCAGGATGGGGATCTCTGAGGCTCATAGCGCCCTCTGGGTACAAACGGCCAGACACTCAGTGACACTCTCCACTGACATAGCTGAACATTTCC